AGTTATGCCCACACATAGGGCTGGCATGTTTTCCAAGCCCCCCAGGTATGGGACTCGAACTGCTCAGACAGCCATATGGTATCCAGCAACCTTAACTACCACACCACCTGCTGACTCCCCCTCTTCACCTTCCATCTTTTCCAAGACTATCTTTTTCTTTTTTTTTTTTCTTTTGCCATAGGGTACATGTGCTCACCAGAAAGAGAGAGACAAAGAAAAGGAAATGAGAACTCACCCTCCCAGGTGGTCATGCTACAATCCCTTTTCCTCAATTCCCTTCTCAAGATTTGGGGCACATACATCTGACATGATTTTCTCTTTTTAAAGACATATTTATTTTATTTTTTGTTGTTACTATTATTATTTAATTTGTTGTAGAATACATGTGCATACCAAAGAGAGACAAAGAGAAAAAAAGTGAGAAAGCAAGCTGTTGGGTCCAGGACTTGAACCGCAGTCATCCATGTGGGAGTCCAGCAGCTTACCTGCCATGCCACCTCTGGCCCTCAAGGCTATCTTTGAAAAGAATCTTTTATTTTTGTCAAAAATAGTATCCATATGTTCTAAAACATCTAAACAATACTGAGAAGTTTACCAAAAAAAGGCAAAAATTACATCAGTTCACAAACGCAGAGTTAACCTACTAACATTTTTGCAAATAGCCTTTTAGGTGTTTTTCTAAGCATATTTTATGTATCAACCATGTATATAATAAATGATTAATTCCACTCTACCTACTGCTCCAGAACCTGTTTTTTTTGTTTTGTTTTGTTATTTTTTTGTTTTTTTTACTCAGCAGCACAGTTTCAAATATTTTTTTCACAGTTTAAGTTGTTTAAGTTCTTTTAATAATTGTATAACATTCTAGCAAATGGCTGTGCCAAAGTATGCTTGGCCTGTTTTTTGTGGATGAACATTAGATGTCCTTCACTGGGGTAAAGTGTGTGACTCTCTCCTTAGGAGTGGGAGCATCAAGTCCAAGGATATGCACATTTAACATTTTGTTACATATGTAGGGCCAGATCGTCCTCCAAAATGGAATAATAATGTCCCTTTCCATTGGTGATTTCCCTTCTTAATAATGCCACTGGAACATCCTTCTAAATCTAGAAAACAGCGCTTTTATATTTTTTATAAGACAGTGTTATGATTCTCCTGTCTTGGACTCCCAGCTGGGACTGTAGGTGATATCATGGTAGGCATGTGACACTGCAAATGTCCTTTTTTTCCCTGTTGTTGTTGTTTGTTTGTTTGTTTTGCTATAGAGCACGTGCATTCTCCAGAGAGAGAAAGTGAGAAAACATTCCCCCGCGGGAATACCGTGATCCCTTCTCCATTCCTCCTCTTGCAATTTAATGCATGCACACACATATGGCTGGCATGTTTTTCAAGCCACCCAGGTATGGGACTCGAACTGCTCAGACAGTCATATGGTATCCAGCCACCTTGACTACCATACCACCTGCTGACTCCAGATCACTCTATTATTTCAGACAGGGTCTCAGTGTGTTTCTAGGCCAACCTCAAGCACACAGTCTTCCTGCCTCAGCCTCCAAGTTGCTGAGATTACAGGTGTTCATCACCATGCCCAGCCTTTAGGTAGGACCAGGAATCAAACCCAGTCCTCCCATGCATTGCCAGCCTTTGCAGCACTGCAAAGTGAGCCATTGCAGTTGGGTTCCTCATCATTTTTTCTGGCTTCCTCATTAAAATACTCTTAATTTCAATGAAACAAATACTTGAGGATCATCTGAGTGCCAATCCCTGGGAATACTACAAGCATTGCCCCTGCTTTCAGGGAGTTACAATGTTGTGGAAATATAAAGAAACTAAGCAAATGGGCCAACTGTAAACAGGGAAAACCAGGAAACTGCAGAGCGTTGCTTTCCTATCATGTGACCTCAGCTTGGTGGATTCCTTCTCAGGTTGTGTGGGAGGGAAGAACGATATTTTTTACTCTTCTGACATTCAAACGTCAATACTGACCCAGAAGTAAATGGCGTCCCAACCTATGCATAGAGGAGACCTAGAGCCTCTGGTTTTTGGCAGTCCCCTCTGGCATGCCAGGCAGTAGGCACTGAGATGGTGTGCTGGGCTCCGTCCCCATGTCTCAGGTATACAGACCAGGGCGGTGAGGAAGAGGAGGACTATGAGAGTGAGGAGCAGCTGCAGCATCGCATCCTGACAGCGGCCCTGGAGTTCGTGCCCGCCCATGGATGGACAGCAGAGGCCATTGCAGAAGGAGCCCAGGTGCGTATAGGAGGGGGCAGGACTGAGATCAGCCAGGATGGGTCACAGCAGACAGAGCTAAGGCCTCATGCTTGCTTCCAGCCAGGCTCAGAGCCCCTCACAGCCCCTCACAGCCCCTCACAGCTAGAAGATTATCTGGGTTTTATTTTGTTTTGTTTTTATCCTGCTGGAGTGGAAATGGCTTTATTTTTCAGTTATGAAAAAAATACCACAGAGTTGGTTATTGGGAGTTATGTTCTAAAAGTAGTCAGGTCAGCAGATGATGTGAAGGTTTAGACAGCTGGGTCCCACATGGCTGACTCCATGGTTCAAGTCCTAGACCTAGTGGCCTGAAAACACTCCAAGTGCATATGTGTGCATACCCACAATCCTCATAGGAGAGTGGAGGAAAAGGGATTGCATTGTGGCCACACCCCCCTCGGGAGTGATTTCTCACTTTCTCTATCTCTGGCAAGTGCATGTGCCCTATAACAAAAATTTTAAAAATAAGTAAAGGTGAGGCCAGCAGGTGGGGCAGTGGTTAAGGGTGCTGGACTCCCACATGTTCGACCGTGGTTTGAGCCCTGGACCTGGCAGCTTAAAGGCAGTCCATTCGGCAAGAATTGTCTGTGATCCAAACTACCATATTTCACTGACTCTTACATGCCATTGGTTATAAGACTGACTTTATTTAAATGAAAAATACGTGCAGGCCAGCCCATGACATGATAGTTAAGGCAGCTGGATCCCATGTGGCCAACTACATGGTTGAGTCCCGGATCCAGAGGCTTGGGAAATACCCCAGGCACATGTGCATGCATGCCCAAGTCCTGAACAGAGGGAGGAATTGAGGAGAAGGGATTGCAGTGTGACCATGTCCCATACAGGGTACTTTCTCACTCGCTCCATCTCTCTCTCTGGCAAGTGCATGCACCCTCTAGCAAAACTGGAAAAAAAAATTTAGAATTTATGAAACCAGTTATTTTGAAAACCCCCAAGAAGGCTCCACCTGGAAGACTGAAACAGCTGACTTTTCTCAATACACCTAACAGCATTTCCTCCCACATTGAGACAGGCTGCTGCTTCAGGTTAGGTGATGGTGCACGTGTAGACTGCAGTGCAAAGTCGTCCAACAAAGCCATCCTACGAGAGGCCTACAGACAGACTGAGAGAACCACAGTGTTTTGCGACAGGGCATCTGCTTATGCAACAGGACTGTGGTCAAGTTTGCTGCTTTACTGAAACTTGATTGTTACCTCTCTGTGTCCTCCAACTCTCTCCCAATAGCACATGTGGTGACAGAGACATGAGAGAACGTGTCTTCTCTTGACTCACTATATGCGCATTGTGGAGACTTTGAACAATATAAACAGATAGACGAGAATGTAAAAATCATCTATGATCCCACCAAAGATCCTACCATCAACTTTTTTTCCCAAATAATTATCTATTTAATTTTATTTATTATTATTATTGTTTAATTTGCTATAGGACATGTATACTCACCGAGAGACAGAGAGAAGGGAAAGTGAGAAAGTAAGCCACCAAGTCCAGGATTTGAACTGTAGTTGGCTATGTAGAAGTCCAGCACCTCAACGGCCATACCACCTGCCAACCTTCTGCCATCAACTTTTAATGCCTATTTCTAGTTTTTCAGTACTTTATTAATTTAATCTTTAAATATCAAGGTGCCTCGTCCAGGACTCAAACTGCAGTCACCCACATGGAAAACAGCCACCTTCACCGCTATGCCACCTGCTGGCCCAGGAGTGAGACTTTTATTCTATGAATAACTGAATGTCTGAGTACATGGTGGTATTGTTTCCTAAGATTAGAGCCCTTGGGAGAGGGCCTGGTTTGGGGGCGGATCGTGGGCATGATGTTGATCTTTGGGGAGTATGAAGGGTCTTTGAGTCAACCCAGTGGAGATGTTATGTGCAAGGCTGGAACTGGAGGAGATCGCTAGTCCAGAGACACACACATGGGCATCTTCAATATCTATATGTGATAATCAAACTTCAAGTGAATGAGATCGCCCACGGTGAGAGTATAATGTGATGAGAGAAGAATCTAGACCCTCAAAGAACTCCATCATTTAAGGGTTGGGTAAAATAGGATGAGCCAGCAAAGAAGGCTGACTTAGAGCATCCTGATGTTGGAGTATCCCGATGTTGGAGACTAAGCAGGAA